ACCTGCTGGGCTCGGGCGATCCTTCCGCCTCAGCCTTCTGAGTAACTGGAATTACAGGCATGCGCTGCCATGCCCGGCTGATTTTTTGATTTATTGTAGAGATGAGGTCTCGCTGCCCAGGCGGGTCTCGAACCCGCGGGCTCAGGCAATCCACTCACCTCGGCCTCCCAAAGACGCGGGATTACAGGCTGAGCCACCTTTCTGAACTTTTCACAGAATGTTAGCTCATTTTTAAATGAAGGAGAGAAAGATACTTAGCCGCGAAGGACACAATAGGTACCCAAAAAGCCTCTGAGTGCAAGGATGTTCATGTGGTACTACATTCAAGCCCTTTGGGTTATATATCTTCCGCAGCCTTTAGAAATAACAGACTTGGGTTTCTTCCATGAATTAGACTTAGCATTAACTCTTAGCTTTGGTAGGCCAGCCCTGAGCTTCAACTTAGGCCCAGTTAGCTAATAGGCTCACTGTTTCTACCTATGCTGGCAATGAGTGAAAAAGAAATGAACTTTGACCTAATTTTCTCACTTGTCTTTTTCCTTTAAGTCCATTTTCTTCAACTGTCCTGCCTGTCGCATGGTGGCACTAGTATTTATTTGATTAATGCCATCTTTTGAGTGAACATCATACTACACATTGCTATCATAATTCAATTCAACTTTGAAAAGTAATACATAGATAACATCTCTTAAAATGTGTAAACTTTTTGGCACCCCCCCAAAAAATATATGTATATTTTTACATATAAATACATATCTAAATATGTATGTATATTTATATATATCTATATATGTTCATAATTCTGTGTCATTATGCATATGTATATATTTATATTTATTTCTGGTAAGGTCTTGTCCTAGGCCCTGTGTCATTCATGACAGAAGTAGCACGAGCTGTGTTGTTATTTCAGAGATGTTAAAAAAAATGTGTTAGTTGAAGGAGATGTTTATTTTCCCCTGTCTAGTTTGAAGATGCAGCTGTACATGAGAAGTAGGATGGAGGTAATGTTTACTTTCCCGACAGGTCACAGACTGTCAACTTCTATTTTGAAAACAAAAGAGAGAAAGTTGGTGGCCTGTTAAAGATATAATGGGCTTCCAAAAGCCTATGAAAGCGAGGGAAGTCATGTGGTACTTAACTGAACTCCTTCGGTCTGTGTACCTACTGCAACTTTAGAAATAAGAGACACCTATGTCCTCCTATGAGCTTACCCTTCTCAGCTTTGCCTTCAGACTATTCAGTGAACTGCCATGCTGTGGAAAAAGTGGCCATAAGCCCAGCAAGGCACCTCAGGGCCCAATTTTCCTCTCCAAATATGGGAGGACTAAGTATGAAACCCCAACCCTTGTGGGCTGGCCCTGAGCCTTCATCCAGGCCCAATTAAGTTTATAGACTCCTTGCCTCCAAGTGAGCAGGCAAAGGGTGGAGAGGAAATGACCTCTGACATTTTTTTCTCACTAGTTTTATTCCTTTCAATTCTACTTGTGTATAGAAAACCATATACTATTTCCCATCCTTCTTCTGTGTGTGCAAGAGTCTTCATGACCTGGCATTTAAGGGTTTTAAATTTAGGGTATTCTGAAGCCAACCCAGTGAAGTTCTGTAAATCCAACTGGGATTAAATAGAACTGGCTTGCACAAGTGTATATAGCCTCCCACGTAAATGCTCACTGGCCTGAACAATCATAGCCCTTCTAGCACTTAAAGCACAATGATTCAGGCATGGTTGATTCTTCCCCTAGCACAATCACTTTCTCTAAAGTGGTTTCAGTATTCTTATGTTGTTCCTCAAAATAATAATATATAGAGAGCATATATATTTATGTATATATTTATATATAATATGCCCATATATTCACATATATCTACATATGTTTTTATCTTTATTATTATGTGTATGTATGCATTTATTCATTTCAGGTAAGGTCTTTTCCTAGGCCCTGACAATGTCATTCCCCAGAGAAAGTGGCCTGAGCTGTGTGGGTATTTTAGAGAAAAAGTTGAAAAACATAATAGCTAAATTAGATATTCATTTTTCCCTTTTCTAATGGGAGGATGCAGCTGTACACAAATGTAAGGTAAAGGGGGCATTTACTTTCCCAACATGTCACAGATTGTGAGCTCCTATTCTGTAGATGGGGACAGAAAGTTGTCAGGCTGTTAAGGATGCAGTAGGTACTCCAAAGGTATATGAAAACAAGGAGTGTCATCTGGTACTCCATTTAAGCCCTCTGGGCTGTGTACCTTCCTCAACCTTTAGAAATAAAACAGATGGTTCTTCTTCAATGAACCTACTTTTCTCAGGTTAACTTTAAGCTGCAAAGCCTAGTGAGTGTGCTGCCACACTTTAGAAAAAATGGTCATACAACCAGTTGAACACCTTAGGGCTTTGTACTCTTATCCAGCAAAGGTAAGCCTGAGCATTATTCCTCAGCCTGAGTGAAGCCAATCCATTGGGCTTCTGTAAATCAAGATGGGACAGAACAATACTGGCTCACATCAGTGTGTATAGCCTTCTACACAAATGGTCACCAGACTGAGAAAAACAGCCACTCCTAACACTCAAAGAAAAATGACAGGGGCCTAGTTGTTCCTTCCCCCAGTACAATAGTCTTCTCTAAAGCACTTTTTATATTCACATATTTTATACATGCACACACATGTGTATATATTCACATATAGCTACATATGTTCATAATTGTATGTCATTATGTGTAATTTTGTATGCTTTTCAGGTAAGAACTTCTTTTAGGCCCTGTGAATGTCATTAGCAGCAGAAAGTTGAGAAGCATATCTCTAGTGCAAAAATACTGCTGTACATAGAACACAGGATGAAGGGTAGGTTTATTCTTGCAATATGTCACAGAATGTTAGCTCCTAAT